TGCTTGATGGGCAGAGCAGTGTCAAATGTCATGAACCTGCCACTTCACCTTATAGCTGATACAGTTGAAGTTAGGCTTCAGGTACATACCCTGTTGTACTGTGGTAATGAGGGCCTACGCTATTGAAATGGGCCTTCACATGTCTATGCAGGGGTGAAAGGCATTCAAGGTCCGTGGACCCCTTATGCCTGTGCCTAGGCAAAGGAGATGTGCCTACCCTGAGTTCCCAGCTTAGGGGAGCTGGCAGATTATTTTTTCCTGTTTGTTAATTTGTTCCCTCTCCAAGGCCGGGAGAATGGTTCAGGGCGCGTTATGGGTCCTACTTCCGGCCCAGGGGACTCGTAATTGCTGAACCTGTCCCAGGACCTGGTGCAGAGCTGGGACGGGACTGATGAATGGCAGAGAGGTTTTTCCCAAAGGAGATGTTTTTTGATCCACGTGGTAGGTCAGATGCATGTACTTATCTTTTGCCAATTGAGTGCCGCTTTTCACTGGTTCTGGAGGCCCAAGTAGACTCTCTGCTGCTTGGTCTCTCCGGATGTGGAAAACACCTCCCAAGTGCCACTGCTTGCCTCACTACGCACGTGAGCTGATCTGGCCTGAAGGTTGCCAGCTCCTGCTGGGTCAGGTCTGGCAACTCCTCGCTGCTTCGGAACTGTCTCTCCCACCCCCTGCCACTTAGACTGATTCCTCAACTTTGCCTTTGATGTTCAGGACTCCTAGATTGTCATATATAATCGATTCACTTGTTTTTTCGAGTCTGTGTTGTAAGAGGGACCACAGGAAACGTCTGACTACATTGCCATCTTGTCCCCGCCTCCTTTTTTTTTTTGGTATTGTGATTTAGGTGAAAGTTTACAGAGCAAATTAGTTTCTCATTAAACAGTTAATATGCAAAGTGTTTTGTGACATTGGTTGCCAACCCCGCAATGTGTCAACATTCTCCCCTTCTCCACCCCAGTTTCCCTGTTTCCAGTTGTCCAGTTTTCCTGTCACTTCCTGCCTTCTCATCTTTGCTTTTGGGCTGGTTGCCCGTTAGTCTCGTACTCATGATTGAACTACGAAGCACATCCCTCCTGTGTGTTATTGTTGGCCCTATAGACCTGTCTAATCTTTGACTGAAAGGTGAACCTCAGGAGTGACTTCAGTACTGAGTTAAAAGGGTGTCTGGGGGCTCTTCTCTCGGGGTACCATAAGGTTTTCAATGGCTGATTTTTCAGAAGTAGATTGCCAGGCCTTTCTTCCAAGGCATCTCTGGGTGGACTCGAACCTCCAAACTTTTGGTTAGTAGCCAAGTGTGTTAACTGTTTGAACCACTAAAGGGTCTTTACATAGCTCCCAGAGGGGATGGGTCAGGGGTCCGGTTAGAGAAGCGGAAGGCCAGGCAGCCTCTGCACAGCTCATGTTGGGGAACGGGTGGGGGGCTCTGGTTAGAGAAGTTAAAGGCCAGGCAGCCTCTGCCCAGCTCATGTTGGTTTCTTCCTGACCACCTGCTGGGTGGCCAGCACTGGGCTCAGTCCTCAGATTAAACCTCAGAGTGGAGGAAGGCCCTGGTCTCCTGAGTGTGTCACGGAGTGGCAGGCAGGTGATGTGCTCAAGCACTGCTCTTAAGGAGCTCTGAGGAGGGGCCCTTCCGCATGGCCATGGAGAGTGGGTTGTTCCCAGGGTCCTGGGCCCGAGGCCCCACACCAGCCTAGGCCAAAAGAAGACCAAGCCACATCATCATGGTGGCCTGCAGCAGACCTGACTGGGTCTGGGGAGAAGGGTGGGAGTGAGTGGGGCCCCCCAGAGCCCAGATACCTCAGAGAGTGCAAGAGTCATGTGGCAGAGGGCCAGACCAGGGCTGAACCCTCACGGCTGGGGATTCACAATACCTGGAGCAGAGAGCAGAGGGAACAGGTGAGACTGGGACCTGCTATCCCTGCAGTGGGCCCTGGTACCTCCTTGCCCCAGGCTGGACATCCAAGCAGCCTGGCTTCTTACCCACGCCCAGGCCAGGCTGTTGCACCAGCCAGCCCTCTCTGACCAGGCTCAGTTACCTTGTGCAGGAAACCCTCATTTGGGCCTTCTGCAGGGAAGATGTCCCTGCTCCACAGGTAACCATCTGCTTTGAAGGGGAGCTGCCTTCTCCCTGCAGAACCGCCTCTCAGCCAACCCCACCCCCACCCCTGGCCGCCATTGACAGATCCTGGAATGAACACCTGACCAGGAAGGCCAATTCCAGCCCTGCCCCCAGACCCCCCTTGGTCCTTCTCAGGGGGGTCAGCTCCGGCCTGTGAGGCCTGCGTGCAGCGGGAAGCTGGTCTGAGAGGGTGACCTGCCTGCCAGGGAGCAGTGGGAAGGACTACAGCGAGAGGCAGGGTCCCCATGTGGTGTCCAGGAGATCCTGCCTCCACTACTGTGTCTGTCAACCACCAAGTTGTCTCCTTGCTCCCCAGGGGCTTGGGTCAGCTTCTGTCACTTGCCACCCACAGTCCTAACTCCCACCCCTGGGAATAGACCCTGCACCCCAAAGGCCCACCTCCCTCTCTGCTTCTGATTTCTCCCATTTGGGGAGTGTTTCAGTTATTTAGTGCTGCTATAACAGAAACACGACAAGGGGGTGGCTTTAACAAACAGAAAGTTATTTTCTCACAGTTTAGGAGGCTAGAAGTCTGAATTCAGGGCGCCTGTTCTCACATCTGCTGAAAGAAGTTAGGGGAGGAATTGAGGGCTGAAGGAGGATAATGAGACAGCGAGGGGTTGGGGGGGTGCTGTCCCAGGTGATGCTGATACTGAGGGTCCAGGGACCACACTTTGGCCCCAAACTGCTAATTAACAGCACATGTCACTTTCATCTGACCAGGCTTGGGGCCCTCTGTTGACTGAGGTCAGAACTCCATGTGTTTCCCTCACTGCCTCATCCTCAGCCCCCAGAACAGGGCCTGGCGTTTAGCAGCACTTAATGTATTTGTTCACTGACTGTTGGTGAGTGAGAGGCAAGGCCAGTGACAGGAGGGGCTGAGCTGGCTGTCTTGAATGACCAGATGAAGAAGCGTCCAGCCCGAGGGTGGCAGGCAGAACTGCCTTATGCCCATGCTGGGACCCTGAGGGCTTTCAAGTGAGTCCCCCCGGGTCCTCCTGACCTCCCTGCTGACAGTTCTCTAACCAGCAGTTCTCCACCTGGCTGCGTGGGAGAGTCACCTGGAGCTTTGGAACAGCTGGGTGCCCGGCTGCACTGGATTATATTAGCATCTCTGGGGTGGGGCCAGCTTTTGGTGGCTTCTGGGTGCTCTCCAAGTGTGGGAATCACAGGTTTCAAGCCACAGCAGCCTCCGTGACCGGAGCCTTTGGAAAGGGGTCTTGCGTGGCTCAGAGATCAGAGACGCCCCGCGTTTGGGCCTTGAGGGTGCTGCCTCCACCGCACACACTCCGTGTCTTCCACACTGCAGGTCTGTGGGCCCCGTCACCCCACCGTCCCTCGGGGTCAGCTTGACCAGCAGCCACTGGGTAGGGGTGGGGAGGTCAGGGGAGAGTCCTGTGGAGGGCATGGCTGGGCCTCTGCTCTGGTTTCCTTTGTTGACTCGGGTGGCCCGTGCGGAGGAATGCTGAGAGGGAGAGGCCGACAGGACCCTGTGATTTACTCACGCTCCAGTCAGAGGTGTAGCAAGGGTGAGAGGGGGCAGAGGTGGGCACTTGCCCCTGGGGCCCAAGTCCAAGGGGGCGGCAGACGAGGTGCGGAGTTACATTCTGAGGCACCACAAATATGAAAGGCGCCCGACTGAGGCAGCCAGGCAAGGGGGGGAGGGCATTTCTGCTGACGTGTCATTATCAACGTCTATTCATCTTAAAATTGGAGGTGGGGGGCGGTGCGCAACTTAGAGATTGCCTCTGGGCGCTTGTTACCCTCTCTACACCCCTGGCTCCAGTAAGGCCCTGGGGTTGGGAGTGGCCTCTGAGACCCATGGAGGCACAGGGTGGCTCTCAGCTGAGTGTCTGGGTTCAAACCCCAGCTCTGTCCTTGGTGACTCTAGGCCCATTAGTTAACCTCTGAGGGGCCAGTTTCCTCATATGTAAAGAAGGAATTCACCACCCATCTGTCAGTTTGACATATTGTGATGGCTTGTGTGTTATCATGTTGGAAGCTATGCCACTGGATTTCAAACACCAGTAGGGTTCCCCATGGTAGGTAGGTTCCAGCGGAGCTTCCAGACTAAGAGAGATTAGGAAGAAAGACCTGGCGATCAACTTTAAAAATTGGCCAAGATTGTCTGATGTAATGCTGGAAGATGAGCCCCCTAGGTTGGAAGGCACTCAAAATACACAGTGGCTGCAACAATGAACTCGAGCATGCCAACCATCAGGAAGATGGCATGGAACTGGGCGGCATTTCCGTGTTGTACGTAGGCCCGCCGTGAGTCTGAGGCGACTTCATGGCAGCTAACAACAGGAATAACAGAAGGTCGTGGGAGAATAAACGGGGTGAATATACAGTGACCCCTCAACACAGGTGTACCCCTTCCATAGGTGGTGGCTGTGAGTTGCCTTGGAGTTGATTCTGACTCATGGTGACCCCACGTGTGCAGAATAAAACAGCTCCAAGGGTTTTCAAGGCTGTGACCTTTCGGAAGCAGATCACCAGGGCCGTCTTCTGAGGTCCTCTGGGAGGGTTCGAACCACCAACGTTTCCACCAACTGTACCACCCAGGGACTTTTTCCACAGATGGAGGTCTCCACACTTTTATGATGGCTTTCCATCTGTGAACAACTTCTGAGCACTCTCAATAGATGTATATTTATAAGATGTATCCATGGGTAACTGTATCAGTACATTATGTACATTATGAAATATTCACAGAAAAATAGTTTTAAAGGCATGAGATAGAAACATAAATAGAAGTTCCCATTATTTTCTTCCTGCTGCTCCTGAGGGTGTGCGCCCCTCTTTGGGGACCCCAGTCCCAGGCCTAGGGGGCTTGGGGAGGGGCGGTGGTCCCCAGCGGCCAGGAGCATGGGGCGGGGGCTGGGGATCCCGGGTGGTCGGTGCTATAGCTCCGCGGCGCCAGGGAAGACAAAGCTGCAGGCGGAAGCCGGGGCGTCGCCCCGTCCGGGGCAAGGTGAGCGCGGCCCGGCGGGATGCCCGAGGGAGGGTACGGGCTGGGGGGACCTGGGACGCGGGGAGCCTGGGCACGGGAATCCGGGGCAGAAGGACTGCGGGCGCGAAGCTCGGGAGTGAGGGGACTCAAGTCCTGGAAAGCCGTTCGAGCCCGGCTCCTGCAGCAGCCGCGACAGGTCCTCCACCAGGTGCCACTTCTCCTTGACTTGCTGCGAAGGGAGCGAACACCGCGTCGCGAGCGGGGCCTACGCCCATCCGCGGGCCAAGGGATCGAAGCGCGCCCCCGGTCGAGGC